TATACTGCTCTGCAGTGTACCCACAAATCCTTTGTGGGGAGCGGGCCGGGCTTTGCAGGTACCAACTTGGTAAACTTATTTTATTATTATAAAAAACATGCAGTGGGTCTATGTTTTAAGGAAGCAGCTGAGGTCAGACATTTTCCCAGTACAGTGGTACCTCGGGTTACAGGTGCTTCAGGTTACAGACTCCGCTAACCCAGAAATAGTACCTCAGGTTAAGAACTTTGCTTCAGGATGAGAACAGAAATCGCACGATGGCGGCGCAGCAGCAGCAGTGGAAAGGCCCCATTAGCTAAAGTGGTACCTCAGGTTAAGAACAGTTTCAGGTTAAGAACGGACCTCCAGAATGAATTAAGTTCTTAACCCGAGGTACCACTGCACAGGCACTCCCCCTCCCCCCAATGCACGAGCACATATACATGTGGCACAGGGAAATAAATATTGATTGGCTGCTCCTATCTGTGGCTCAGATCCCCACTCCTGGCACTGTGGGGCATGTGTACACCCACACACCCATTAACAAAATGAAGGACATCGTCCTCTTTCTATGCTCCTCCGGATGGAAACATGCAGATGGGGACAGGTATACCCCTGCTTTAAGTCGTTTACATACTGTCTTCTCTTGTATATTATTTAACTGCAAAGCTCGATGACTACGCTCTTTTGCGACGAAAAGTCTGATTACCGGAATGACGTCTGAGCACTGAACCACTGGTTCACAGGTGGACTCTTTATTACTTCGTTTGCAATTGCAATTGTTCAAGATAACATCTAATTTGGAAAGGGAAGAAATGAGCACTGAGCCACTGATATATTTACAAGTGCTCTATTTACTGCATTTGCAGTTGTTTAAGTATGATAAAACCTATTTTGGAAAGAAACTACTTTTGCCATTTTTATGGACATTTATTGTTTGTTTTGAAGATAGTTTCCTAAGTGATATTGTCTTATGTCGATAGAGATAGGCAGGGGGAAGGGACCGGAACATATGGGATCGGCATCTGTCTGCTGTGCCGCTGGGTCCTAAAGCAGCTCTTGGCACCCTAGAGGATAGGCGCCACTAGCTGCACTGACCAGTGGGAGAGGCGAAAATCCATCTCCTAACAAGGTGGGGTTGGGCAGCAGCCCTAGCCGTGTACTTGAGTCCCTCCCTCCCTCCCTCCCTCCCTCCCTCCCTCCCTCTCCCTCCTCATCCTGCACCTTCCTCGTTCAAGTGGTGTGCTCCCCACTTTACGAAATTTCACTTACATGCGCAGATGTCCAGAATGTGACCTCTGCATAAGTGGGGGAATGCCTGTATATAGATCAGTGGTTCCTAAAGTTGGTGGTAGCACCCCTAGGTGGGATTACCTAGGGGGGATGCAAAGAAGCAAGGGGTGAACATTGGGGGCGGGGGTTGGAAGTGTAAACGACTTGAAAAGCTAGTATCAGTGGATCCAAGTTCATCAATTTTGTCGAACTGATTAATTGTTTAAAATGTGTTCTGAATAAATGTGCACTCTCTTGAAATTTTATTGTGTTATTTTCTTCCTTAGTGGTTTGTGCAAACCACCATTCTGAATAATGCTATTTATAGGGTAGGGGGTATTGGGGAGGAGTTTATGTAACCACAGGGGCGGTGGTACAAAAAAGTTTGGGAACCGCAGTCGATTAGTTGCGCGCGGAGGGGAGGGGGGAACGGACCTGTGGGCTCAGCCACTCTGCATCTGAGTCTGCAAGCCTGCCTAGCTCACTTATCCAAAAACCTAAATTCTGTTCTACCCCTAGAGTGTGACCTCCTTATTTCCACTTCAATTTGTTTCTCTTTATTGCAGCCCATCCTTCACAGTTGGATTTGGCAGTATATGACTCCATTGTGATTCCACATTAGTAAATTTTATGTGTAGATCCCTGTTTCCACTCCTTAGGTCGCTACCAAAGTATAAGAAGGGCCCCAGGATTGCTCCTCAAGGAACTCTACTGGTTGCTTCATTGCGGTTTTGTCTTTCAACACTGCTATTTGTCTTCTTTCCTTCTAACCTTCTCTATTCCCTAATTCCCAGTGTCTGTATCAATGCCCATCTTTTTTCTGTTTTCTCATACTATCAGGTGCTCTGTGGAAGTTTGTACTAAGAACACGGTTTCAGTAGTTCTGTCATCTGTTTCAGCCTATATTGAATCATGGTGCAGAAATGAGTAAACTTAAGCAGTATGTTCCATCTGCCTTAGAAGTACGGTCAACTGGCTGAAACATCTTCAGATACACGAGTTCTAAAGTAGCAGCATTGGCATGTCATATAATTGTTTTGTTTTATGGACGCAGAAGTATCTTAGATTGCCATCTCTGTGTTGAATTGACTGCTGTCTAATTAGTGCTGTGCCATCAGATGAAAAATATGGTAAATGGTTATTGCCTACTGACAAGAATATGTCAAGGACAGCATCCATCACAATTTCAAACCCTTGTAAATAATCCTGAAAATTCTGCAAAGAGAAAAATATACAGTGGTACCTTGGTTTACAAACTTAATCCATTCTGGAAGTCCGTTCTTAAACCAAAGCGTTCTTAAACCAAGGCATGCTTTCCCACAGCAGCGGGGGACTCAATTTACAAATGGAACACACTCAACAGGAAGCGAAACATGTTCTTATTCCAAGGCAAAGTTCATAAACCAAACACCAACTTCTGTGTTTGCAGCGTCCTTAATCCAAGTTGTTCATAAACTAAGCTGTTCTTAAACCAAGGTACCACTGTACTACGAATCAGAAAGAAAGAAAGGGATAAAATAAGTGTGCCTGAATAACCTTCCCTGGCTTGGTATCCTCTGGATATTGTTGGACTACAACTCCCATCATCCCTTGCTGGCTAAGGCTGATGGGAGCTTTAGTCCAATGACATCTGGAGGATACCAGGTTGGAAAGGCTGCTCTTTGCGAATGTTTGTTGAATGCTATGCTATGCTTTTGCACTTGCTCCAAACGATATTTCACCCTCAGTAGTGTTTAGTAGGCTGCTGCTGTTATAAAATTTAATTTTTGCTCTCTCTTCCCATATTTTATTGGGTGCTTAATATCCAGGCCAGTAAAGATTGCAAAACTCTTTCCATTCTAACAGTTAACCTCTTGGGTTGAAATTTTCCATACTTCTGGACTGAGTTCAGATTGCTGTAACTGAGTGCAATCCAGAGCTATTAAAACAAACGGGAGTTCTGCCACATTGGCTTCAATGGGATCAGGGTTGTTTGCATCCATAGGCTGCTGTTTTGCCCAGCGATGGATAACTTTTCTCAACTTGATGTCAGTGTCATTCTTTTATCATTTATAGTGTTCCGCTTCTCTGCTTTAAAGCACTAGCATAGTTTGTAATAAATCTGTAATAGTCTATAATGTCTTGAATATTTTAAATGTGGGTTAATGATAGAGAGGATGCAAGCAATTTATTAATTGTCTCAATCTCATATTGGGTCCCAACGTTATACAGTTATTTGCTGAGACGTGTGGTAGATTTATTGCAGGTGGTGCGGGTGGGGTGAAATCTGGAATAAGACCGCAGTGTGAGGGAGGGTTTAATCTGGATCAGAACCATGTTGAGGACAAATGTTTACATTTCTTCCTCCCCTCACCCATGCTGTGGTCTTGATCAGGACTGTGCCTGCATAGCGTAACAGCAGCATTATGCAAATCATTAGAAATTGCATCATTTGTTCCTAAATCATTTCCTTCATATATTTATACTTTTATTGACAGTATTGTATAGTACTTACTTACCCTAGTGTTGCAAGCTTGGAAGCCAACGCTTCTCTCAGGAAGCATTCATGTAAGGGCTATTATTAGGATTTATTCAGAATGTTATTCAAGTATTCCCACAGGCTTTGTAATAGGAGAATACAACTCCTATTTTTCACCCCGGGACCACTGTGCCAAGTTGCAGACCTGGGATTTTCCAGAAGACCTATTTGTTGAGCATTTATCCTGATCGCATGGGAAGAAAAGGGTTCCTTTAATCACAGTAGAACACAGAAAATTCTTTACCTCCCTTGCTCATCCCCTTTCCACCCTTCATGCTCTCTGTTTTTGCTCTGTCCCAGCCCTTAGCACGGCTTTTTCCAATCCCAATAATAGAATTGTAGAGTTGGAAGGAACCCCAGGGGTCATCTGGTCCAAGCCCCCGCAATGCAGTAATCCTGCCCACAGCCGTCCCTGGGTGGGCTCGAACCCCCAACCTTCGAACCACCACCAGGCGCACTGACCCATTGCGCCACAACTAAATCTTTGACCATTTCCTCCTCCCTCCTTGCTATTTCTCTCCTGTCACCTCCCTCTTCCTCCTCCCATCATCTAGCCTTGCTCTTTCTCTCTCCACCACCACTTATGCTCCATGTACGCCTTTCTCTGCGTGCCAAGTGTGTGTCTCTGAATTAGGTGTGCTCTAGTCTACCGCGAGGGACGCGGGTGGCGCTGTGGGTTAAACCACAGAGCCTAGGAGCTGCCGATCAGAAGGTCGGCGGTTCGAATCCTCACGGCGGGGTGAACTCCCGTTGCTCGGTCCCTGCTCCTGCCAACCTGGCAGTTCAAAAGCACGTCAAAGTGCAAGTAGATAAATAGGTACCACTCTGGCAAGAAGGTAAACGGCGTTTCCGTGCGCTGCTCTGGTTTGCCAGAAGCGGCTTAGTCATGCTGGCCACACGACCCGGAAGTTGTATGCTGGCTCCCTCAGCCAATAAAGCAAGATGAGCGCCACAACCCCTGAGTCGGCCACGACTGGACCTAATGGTCAGGGGTCCCTTTACCTTTAGTCTACCGTGACCTCTGGCCCCACCTTTCCCCAGCTTCACCTGTTGTAAGCTGCCCTGCTTTGTCCTTCACCCCATCAGCCCCAGTGGGCAGCTGCCCCTGCTGCAGAGCCTCCCCCTTGGTCACACGCCATAGCAGGTCTTTTAGATGGGTACTCACACTTCTGAATGTGTTGGGCTTTCCTTTTTCAGCAGCCGTAATACGATCTCATCTAATCTTTTACAGACGAGAGCAGAACAGTCCCAAGGTGCATACTTCTTGCCTGAGTTTGCATTATCACCACAAGGAAGCTTCTTGGAAGACACCACAGGAGAACAGTTCCTCACCTACCGCTACGACGATCAGGTTTGTCTGCTGAATATGAAAATTATGGAGCTCTTTTTAATCTTTCCAAGGGAACAATGGGGCATGTGTGCTCTCAAAGCAGGCCTGTTATCTTAATGTCTGGTGCAGTATTTATAAAGGGACAAACAGCAGTTTTAATATTACCGTATTTTTCCATGTATAAGACGCCCCCATGTATAAGACGACCCCTGTTTTTTGAGCCCAAAAATAAGAAATAAATAATTGCAACATTCCGTGCATAAGACGACCCCCAATTTTAAACATTAAAAAATTGGGGGGGGGAATGTAGTCTTATACACAGAAAAAATGCACTATTTAGTTTTAACTTGTGTGCTTCATTCTTTGACAAAATAAAAAAATTTAATAATGGCACCAAGAGCAACGTTGCAAAAGCCAAAAGTTATAAAAACTAATGCAAAACAAAGATGTTACAATGCGAAATATATATATAAAAGTATTTGTACAAATAGCTTTGCTAATAGAAAAGATACAGGGAAAAGCAGGAGACGCAAAAAGGTATGTAGAATTGGGTCAGGAATAGTGCCAAACCATGGTTTAGTGCTCCTAAATGTGCCATTTGTATGCATGTTCCTCCTTCCCTCATGTGCTATGATACTCTTCCTGCTTGTCAGCAAACAAACTGGATTTTGGAACCAAAGCTAGTGTAGTGTAGTGTCTAACTAAGGTTTGGCCATAATATCGCACAACAGTTTAATAGACAACTATAGAAGGGGAAATTGCATCATAGTCAGAGGTGGTCCTACCACCTAACAAGATCATCTCAGCTGACAGGTTTGGGACACAATTACATGTGCAAAAGCTAGTATGACATTGATTAGTGCAAGTTCTCTTGAAATGAGTGCAAGAAGCACAGTGTCAGGGAACTGCCATCGGCTCAGGGGCGAGAGGAGAGAAGCCGGGTGTGTTAAGTCGTGGGTTGACATAGCAGCCGGCACAGCGATTTCTTCAAGTAGCTCTTTATTCTGGTAAGCTGGAATAGAACTGACCGCGAACAGCTCAGCCGGCCTGTATTTATAGGCAGCCGGCTGTCAACATTGTAACCACAACAGCCCAGAGTTCCCGCCTAAAATAACTGGCGCGGACCTGAGTGAAAACTATCTACAGACCTGAGTGAAAACTATATACAGTATCCCCCTGTTGGCCCAGGGTGAAACTACACTACATAACACCCCTCCCCACCGAGATAAGGCGTTAGTTACAATCGTAATGGTTTCCTTATATACAGCACTACGCGTAATGGTTCAATTAGGCACAAAAGCATATCGGTTACATTTCCCATACTTAGACCAACAGTGATACCTGTCCAACAACATAGTCCTTTAAATGAGTTGGGCGCTTGGAAACTCTGCCAGACCGCCGGGGACTGGTAGCCAAGTCCGGAGGGCCACACAGTTCTCGCTGAGGCTGTGGTGCGACCCTAGGTGGCGTTGGAACCAACTCCCCTGGATCCGCTGCTGAGAGTGGAGCCTCCGCAAGTGGAGTGGTCTGAGTCTGTTCTGAAATGGCTTGGTTCGGCTCCACGCTGGCAGTTTGCGAGGGAGGTGTAGGTGGGGCCTCGCCATCTGTACGTGTCTCTTCTGGAGCCGCAAGTGCAGTTGGGGGCACCTCGGTAGTGTCCAAGTCCCCAACCCTGCGCCTAAGCTGGTCTATGTGCCGTCGCCACAAGCGTCCGTCTTCGAGTGCCACCTGGTACGAGCGAGGTCCAGTGACTCCCACTACTGTGGCTGGCACCCAAGGGATGTCCCCCACATAGTTCCGGGCAAAGACCTGGTTTCCCGGGACGAATGACCGTGGTGCGTTGGCACAGCCTGGGGGTTCAGCCACGGCAAAGTCTGGGTGTAGCCGGTCGAGCGGTGACCTGAGGCGGCGGCCCATAAGCAGTTCCGCAGGACTCCTCCCTGTGGCCGCATGAGGGGTGATGTGTTGCGTGAACAAATATTCGGCGACCCGCTCATGCCAGTCTCCCCGGTCCAGGCGCGCCAGTGCCTCTTTTGTCGAGCGCACCATTCTTTCCGCTTGCCCATTGCTGGATGGATGAAAGGGTGCCGTTAGGGCATGGCGGATGCCCAGTCCCAAAAGATACCGCTCAAACGTGCCTGACGTGAACTGCGGTCCGTTGTCAGAGACAAGGACATCAGGACACCCATGCGTTGCAAACAGGCCTCGCAGCACCCGGATGACAGCTTCGGTAGTGGTGGAGGGCATCAGGGCGACCTCCAGCCATTTGGAATAGGCGTCCACCACTACCATAAAGGTCCGGCCGTGAAAGGGGCCAGCCAGATCGATGTGCACCCTCGACCAGGGTGTCTTTGGCATCTCCCAGGTGTGTCCCTTAGCTGCCGGTGGTGCAGGCCTCGACTCCTGGCGCGCTTGACAGGCGGACACCCAGGCAGTGATGGCATCGTCCATATTAGGCCACCAGACGTAACACCGAGCCAACGCCTTCATTTTGACAATTCCCGGGTGGCCAACGTGCAGAGCCTCCAGGACGCGCTGACGGAGTCCCTGGGGAATCACGACGCGGTCTCCCCACAGCAGACAGCCGCGATGAGCTGAGAGTTCATGTTGCCTGGTTGCGAAGGGCTGGAACTCCGATGCAAAGGGCCCTTGTGGCCACCCCCTCCACACCCAGTTGAGCACCCGGCTGATGGTGCGATCCTGGGCAGATGCGGAGGCCACAGTGGCAGCCGATACAGGCGCTGCCGGAAGATCCTCAATCAGAAGGAGCGATGAAGCTGGAGCCGGGTCTTCCACAAATGCTGGAAGAGGGCAACGGCTGAGGGCGTCGGCATGGCCCATCGATTTCCCCGGGCGGTGGATGAGCCGGTAGTGGTAGGCAGCCAGGAAAACAGTCCATCGCAGCATGCGTGGTGAGAGGACCGGTGGAGTTGGACGATCACCGGCAAGGAGGCCCAGGAGTGGCTTGTGGTCAGTGATGAGGTCAAAAGTCCTGCCATAGAGGTATTCATGGAACCTCTTCACTCCAGCCACAAGTGCCAATGCCTCCTTGTCGAGCTGGCTGTAATTCCGTTCCGTCGGAGATAGTGTCCTGGAAAAGTAGGCGAGCGGTGCTTCTCTTCCATCTGGAAAACGGTGACTAAGGACAGCACCGATGCCAAAAGGTGAGGCGTCGCAGGCAAGGACCAGCGGCCTGGATTCACTGTACTGTACCAGCACACTGTCTGAAGAAAGGAGAGCCTTGACCGCGTTGAAGGCCGCCGTCTCCCGATGACCCCAGGCCCAAGGCGTCTTAGTGCTAAGGAGTCGGTGAAGAGGCTCAGCCACTGTGGCTTTGTGGGGCAGGAACATGTTATAAAAGTTCAGCAGCCCCAGGAACGCCTGCAACTCCGTTTTGTTCTTTGGAGTGGGGGCCTGCTGGATAGCGCGGATCTTGGATGTGGTTGGATGAAGACCGGAGGCATCGATAAGATAGCCCAGGAACTCTACCTGTGGAACGGCGATCTGGCACTTCTCCCTCTTTACCTTGAGCCCGGCCTCCTGGAACCTGGTCAGCACGGCACGGAGGCGCTCGAACAGCTGCTGGTGTGAGTCTGCAGACACCAAGACGTCATCAAAATATGGTACCACGCCCGGAAGCCCTTGCAGGAGACGCTCCATAAGGCTTTGGAAGATGCCAGGAGCCACACTCACCCCGAACTGCAACCGGCGGCAACGGAATGCCCCCCGGTGGGTGACAATCGTCTGGGCTTCAGCAGTGGCATCATCGACTGGCAGTTGTTGATAGGCTTGGGCAAGGTCCAGCTTAGCGAAGACCTTACCCTCACCCAGGGAATGCAGCAGGTGTTGGACAACAGGAACCGGATAAGCGTGCTGCTGAAGTGCCTTGTTGATCGTGCACTTGTAGTCAGCGCAGATTCTCACCGACCCATCTGGCTTGACAGGCGTGACGATGGGGGTTTCCCACTTTGCGTGGTCAACCGGCTCCAAAACTCCTTGGGCGATCAGTTTGTCCAGTTGTTCGTCCACCTTAGCCTTGAGAGCAAAGGGAACCCGGCGTGGCTTTAGCTTGATGGGGGCGACTTGTGGATCAAGGCTAAAGGAGATGGGCGTACCTGTATATTGGCCCAAGGTGCCGTCAAAAACCTCGGCAAAGTCTTTGACCAGACCCTCAGTCTCTGCGTTAGAGATGCAGTTGATGCCGGTGACTTCCAGGCCGAGGGCATCAAACCAGTCTAGCCCTAGGAGGCTTGGCCGCTGACCTTCGACCACCACCAACCGGAGCAGGCCCGAAAAATCCTTGAAGGCGATCCGGAACCGGCCAACGCCTACCACGGGAATGTCGTTTCCCTGGTAGTCTCTCAGGTGTACGCGGTGAGAGTCGAGTTGCCTTTTGGACACTCTGGGTACCAGTCTTTTTGATGGTGCTCCATGACACGATGGACAGGGCAGACCCGGTGTCGATCTCCATGTCACATGGAGCTCCTTCAATGAGCACCGTGACGTTCAGCTTGCGTCGCGTAGGCGAGTCGGTTTGACCAATCGTGGTTCCAGACGGGCAGCGGCAGTTGGTGAGAGCGAAACAACTTTCCTTGGCAGACTGGAGTGAAGACTTGGACTTGCGAGTCGATGAAGGGGGGGTGTCAGACGGAGCCGATCGGCAGACCTTAGCGATGTGGCCCCTTCTGGAACACTTCCTACAGATGGCGTCTCTGAATCGACACTTGGCACGGGAATGGTTGCCTCCGCAGCCAGCACATTCCGGTTGGCCCTTGGACTTCTGTTGGAACTTCCTGCGCTCCCGCTTTGTCTGGTGCACGTCATCGTCTTCACTGGAGGATGCCTCCTCACTGCTGGCCTCTTCATGATGCACCGGAACTGGCTCCCTAGCAAGACGCGGGCTGCTGGACTTGCGGATCTCCTGAGCGGAGCGTTCAGCAGCTTCTGAGGCCACAGCCTCCTCAATGGCTTTCTGTAGCGTGAGGTCTGGCTTGGCTAGGAGACGCCGTTGCAGATGGATG